GCCCGGGCTGTGACGGTGATACAGGGAGAATGGTGACTGACGGTGCCTGGGCTGTGCCAGACCTACCTGTGATGGTGGATTTACACTTTCCTGTCTTGGTGTCGTAAACAGCCACGATGCCTTCAGCGCCGACCGCTATCAGGTGGCTGGGGTCCTTTGGGTGGAAGCACAGGCAGGTCGTCGCTTGTCGGGAGACCCCTCCACTGAATATGTCCCGCGAAGGTTTCCCATCTGCGGGGTTCACAGCCTGACACAGAGGGCTCAGATCAACAAACAGGCAGTGATAGCGGGGTGCACACAGGTCAACAAACAGGCAGCGAGGGGGTGGGGACGGGCACAGCTCAACAAACGGGCAGCAAGAGATGGGGGCCGCACAGGTCAACAAACAGGCAGCAACGGGGGGGCATGCACAGGTCAACAAACAGGCAGCGAGGGGGGCGCGCACAGGTAAACAACAGGCAGTGATGGGGGCACGCACAGGTTAACAACAGGCTGTGAGGGGGGTGCGCACAGGTCAACAACAGGCAGTGAGGGGGTGGGCACACAGAGAGAAAAAGACAGAGGGCGCAGGCAACAACAGGCAGAAAGTGGGCAGAGAGAGGGCAGTGGTGAAAAACAGGCAGAGAGGGGGCACAGGTCGACAACATGCAAGATAGGGCAGAGAGACAGGAAGTGGGGCCCACAGGTCACCAACAGGCAGAAAGGAGGCAGGAGAAGAGGGCAGAGAGGGAATGGGCCAAGAAAAAGGTGAGGGGATGGCGTAAGGGAGAGGCAGGGGGAGGCTCAGTGTGGACAGGGTGAAGGAGAAAGCAGAGAACGAAGGGACAGACGATCAGAGGGGAAGCACTCACAGAGTTGATGAACTCAGTTTGTTGGAATCATGTTTTATCTCACCAATGCCTTTCCCAGCATATTCCCAAAGTACCTGAATAGCTCCGTTTCCAAATCCCACGATTAACTCCTGTCCATCGGGAGACCAGGCCAAACTGTAAATGCCCTGGGAGTCTCGGGTCAGTGGGACTGCATGGCGCAGTTTCATCTGAGTGGGCACTTCCTTCTTTGTCGGGACATCCTTCTTACGAGATGCCATCTATACCTGTCCCAGTGTACCAGAAAAATCCTGGAACATGAAAGAAACAGAAACTAGTGTCACCAGGTGAACAGGCTGAGGGCTAGCACTGGTCACTGTCCATGAACTAGTTCCCTGCAAAGTGTTCCTCTCTCCAGCTGTCTCTACGGGATCGAGACAGACAATGAGCAAGAGAGAAACTGGTACAGAAGGACAGGTACACTGAGAGAGAGAGAGAGAGAGAGAGGATACAGGCAGAGAGACAGATAGAGAATGAAAGAGAAATAGTGACAGAGAGAGAAAGAGATGGGTAGTCAGAAAAGTCCCACTGCCCCGCTCTCTTCCCATGTCCCTGTATCAATCCCCAAACCAATCCCACTGCCCCGCTCT